CCTTCCTTCCTTCCTTCTTTTTCTTTCAAGTCTAGAACTTCTGAAAGGGAAACGATTCTTAATCATCACTTCAGTCAGAATATAGAAAGTGCTTATCATGGACCAGGTACCGTGTCTTCTGTAGTAATTCATTTGTCCATCCCAGTAGCCCAGTGAGATCTTGTACTGTAAGTACACCCATTTTATGGATGCAGAACACGAGGCTCAGCAGATTGGAAATTTGCCCAAGGTCTTGCTAGGATTCAAACCCTGTAGCTTGGGCCTGGGTCTGTGCTGCACTGCCATACCTCACATCTTCCCATTACTCCTGCATGTGTTCGGAACATTCTGCTCAGGTGCCATACTGTCTCTAGGAGCTGGGACCTAAAATGAATGGACTTGAGTCCAATCTCAGGAAGCTCCGACCAGTAGGACTCAAAGCCACACACAGAGTTCCATGCTGTGCCGGAGAGTGGGGTCAGTTCTGTCCAGGGAGAGGGCATTCCAGATCTGGGCAGAGGACCCAGGCATGTCAAAATCCTTTGTGCTTCTAGGGAACTGCAAAAGTGGTAGGCAGAGTGTTAAACCTCCAGCCTTCACTGTGGCTCTCCTGTGAAACAAAGGGCCTAGCCTTTCCTATTCTGAAGTCCCCACTGGGATTCCTGGCATAGGACAGGCACTCTAAAACAGGAACGGCCAGCAGGCAGTGAAGTCAGAAGATGCCCAAGGTGGCCCCAGAGTCAAGACTGAAAAGTGGTCAAGGTTGAGAAGCAGGATCTGGATTTAGTATCTGGGGATTTTTGGTGACTCAGTGAAGAGAGTTGCAGTTTAGGTGACTGTGAGGAGGGGCCCAGAGGGCGGTAGAGGCCTGCATAGGAGATGAGATAGCAACACTTGGGCTAGAGAGATGTCTCGGCAGTAAAGAGCACTGGCTACTCTTCCAGAGGACCCAGGTTCAGTCCCCAGCACCAACGTGGCAGGTAATAACCATCTGTAACTCCAGTTCCAAGGGAAGCTGACTCCCTCTTCTGACCTCCATGGGCAATGCATACACATGATATACATACATATATGTAAACAAAACATTCACACATATAAAAAAATCCTGAAAGTCAGATGTGATGGCACATGTCTGTAATCCTGTACTCAGAAGGGAGAGACGGGAGAATCAGGAAATCAAGGTCAGCCTCAATTTCAAGCCTCAAGGTCAGGTTTGAAGCCACCCTGAACTACATGAGACCTTGTCCCTGAAGACTAAACCAGAGCCAGTGAGATGGTTCAGTGGGTGAAGGCACTTGCCAATGACCTGATGACCTGAGTTTAATTCCTGGGACTCACATGGTAGAAGAGAACTGACTCCTGCAAGTTGTCCTCTGGCCTCTGTGTGAGCGCTATGCCCTTACACATACATACACATATACAACACAAAATAAACAAATATAATTAAAAAATTGAAACCCCCAAACGAAAGTGCACTTAAACTGGGCATTGTGTTGCGTGTCTACAATCCCAGAATGTGGGACGCTGAGGCAGAAAGATCGAAAATATAATAGATGTCTGTGTTGTTTCGGGGTTTTCTTACTATAATCAATGCTGTTCTGACCACTGTAATTCAGGTATCCTTATGTCCCAGACACAAGTCTCTCTGACCATGCTCCTGGGGGGTGGGACGGCTGGGTTAGTCTGGGTGTGTTCCTGCGAACTGTTTCCTAAAGGGCAACATATATCCATTCAGTAACACTGGCGCATGACGGCTTCACATTTGCTCATATTTTTACCAGCATTTGATATTGTCAGATGTTTTCGTTTGCCCCACCATGTAAGTATGCAGTGGTCTTCTGTGCCTTAGTCACTGTGTAAGTGGCCACCGAGTATATGCTAAGAAAAGCAAGCTCTGGCCTTCCAGAGCCCATGTGATGGGGCAGAGTCTCTGGCACAGTTCCAGGGCTGGAGGAAATGGGTCGAGGGCCCTGGGCACAGGTGGGCAGGAGACTTCTGTAACAGCAGCCCCTTGCTTGCAGGCTGGCCAATCCTCCTGGGCTTGACTGGAGTCCCTGCAGCCCTACAGCTCCTTTTCCTGCCCTTCTTCCCCGAGAGCCCCCGCTATCTGCTGATCCAGAAGAAAAATGAATCAGCTGCTGGCAAAGGTGAGGTTTGCACACCTGAGGTTTGCAGCGGCTGCCCCGGGCCCCAGGTGCTTTAGCTCTGAGTTGATGCCTTCCGCTCCCTTCCTCAGCCCTACAGAAACTTCGAGGTTGGAAAGACGTGAACTCAGAGATGGCAGAGATCCAGAGGGAGGATGAGGCGGAGAAGGCTGCAGGCTCCATCTCCGTGTGGAAACTGTTCAGGCTCAAGTCCCTTCGCTGGCAGCTCATCTCCATCATCATCCTCATGGCCGGCCAGCAGCTGTCAGGAGTGAATGCGGTATGGCGTCAACCTGTGGGCTTGGGTGGGGAGGATGCCGTGTGTCCAGGCACAAGGATGATTCCTGCCCACAGCTCTGGAGAACCAGGGCACAACCACCAGGTGGCCAGCCCACACTTGAGGCCCTTTGTCAGCCCCTACGTTTGTCTTCCAGATCTACTACTATGCAGACCAGATCTACCTCAGCGCGGGTGTAAACAGCAATGACGTCCAGTATGTGACAGCTGGCACGGGGGCAGTCAATGTGTTTATGACCTTCTGCACTGTGAGTGGCCAGGAGGCTGGAGCCCCATCAGCCAGCAGGAAGGAGGGACATCTGGGGAATGGGGAAGATCCCACCCGTGGACAGAGCCAGGGTCTGGCATGATAACATGCCCCTTGAGCCCTGATGCCCAAACCTCAGTGCTCTGCTATAAGAATAGACCTGATTCTAGTGGGGAGCAGCCATGGACCTCCCCCCTCCGCAAAGGCAGAGACCCGTTCCAGATGCCCCCACTGTGTGTGAGGTTCTGCTCTGGTCCCCTCTATTTGGGGCTGATGAACATGGCAGGGCAGTTCTGACAGGGAAGTTCTGTGGCATTGCAAGAACCCCTTGGACAGTTACCTGAGTGAGGCATGGCCATCTCTGCAGAGGGGCCAAGGCTTCTCATGGCCACAGTCTCTCAAGTTTACCCCAATGCCTGGTTTCCTGAGGTTGCAGGATGTCTGCCACTTACACCCACAGCACTGAGGCCCTTAACATGGACTGTCATTCAAGGCTGAGCAGGAGCCTAGTGACCCAGCCAGACCTCCCCACTGGCTACCCAAGGGCACATGCTTGTGTGCATGAACATACAATTCTGTACATACCCATGAATGGGCACATACTCCTCCTAGCCCCTCAGCAGTGGGTTGAGAGACAGTGACGGCTTTCCCATGATGGCTGCCCTAGGCAAGGGGTGCTCTGGACTACAGGGCGCTAGCTCCAGAGCCTCATTTCCTCCCTCCCCACCTTCTCCAGGTGTTTGTGGTAGAGCTTTGGGGGCGGAGACTTTTGCTTCTTCTTGGTTTCTCTACCTGCATCATAGCCTGCGGTGTGCTGACAGTTGCGCTGGCCCTGCAGGTAAGGAAGGCTGCTGGCCCTGAACAGGAACAAGACTCATGCTGCACCCACCCTGTGTTCTCACCATAGAGAAAGGACCGGATAGAAAAATGAGTTTGTTTTAGCAAGTACGGTCTGTCAGCTGTCTGGGGACCATGTGCTCCTCCCCTAGCACCCCTGCCCCACTTTTGAGACCTCATCATGTGGCACAGCACAGCCATGCATAACTCCTTGAAGAGCCAGGTTCTATCCCCCTGCTCTGAGGTCCCAACTGATCTTTGCTTTGCCAAGTGCTGACCACCTGCTTCCCCAACCCTGCAGGACACCATCTCCTGGATGCCTTACGTCAGTATCGTATGTGTCATCATCTACGTCATAGGACATGCCCTGGGGCCTAGTATGTATCTCCAGTCTGGTTTCATGGTTTCAGTGCCCCACGTCCTGGTTCTTCGTGAGCGTCTCTGAGAGTCCTTGGGGGGGTGGCAAATATGTTCCCAAATGGCTTCTTTCTGGTTCCCTTTTGCAGGGCTTGGAAAGGGCACATAATCAGCTCTGTGGGTTGAAATTGCCACCCTGTGTGATTGGCAGAGTGAACTCCAGTCATCCATCATTCCCAACATCCTTTTGAACTGCCATTTGCTTCCTTACTTAGTTACCTTGAAAAGCCCTGTGTCTTACAGACACCAGCTGCCCCCAGGGCTGGGGGCCTAGGGCACCAACACACCCATGGACTCAGGGACCCTTTGGGAGGCACTCTGCCTTCAAGGAGGGCATCTTCCCCTAACCTATCTACCTTCCTCCCCTCTTCCTCCCTCCCTGTCTTCTCTATCCCTCCGTCCCTCCCTCCATCCTCCCTCCATCCCTCCCTCCGTCCTCCCTCTGCCCTCCCTCCATCCTCCATCCCTCCCTCTGTCCTCCCTCCATCCTCCCTCCATCCTCCATCCCTCCCTCCATCCTTCCTCCATCCCTCCCTCCGTCCTCCCTCCATCCTCCCTCCATCTTCCCTCCATCCCTCCCTCCATCCTCCCTCCATCCTCCCTCCTTCAGGTCCCATCCCTGCCTTAATCATCACTGAGATCTTCCTGCAGTCCTCCCGGCCAGCTGCCTACATGGTCGGAGGCAGTGTCCACTGGCTGTCCAACTTCATCGTGGGCCTCGTCTTCCCATTCATTCAAGTGAGTGAGACCCGGGACCCCAATATCACCCAGATCCCCAAGCCACCAAACAAGAAGCATCTAACACAACCTCACTCACGGGTCTTCCTTCCTAAAGGTGGGCCTCGGCCCCTACAGCTTTATTGTTTTCGCGGTCATATGCCTCCTCACCACCATCTATATCTTCATGGTCGTCCCGGAGACCAAGGGTAGATCGTTCATTGAGATTAACCAGATTTTCACCAAGAAGAATAGAGTTTCGGAAGAGATCCCAGAGAAGGAGGAACTGAAAGACCTTCCACCCACCACCTCTCAATTCTAGCCAGTGTGGTGGGTCTGTGTGCACCTTTTCTCTGGACTTTGGTTCTGGCTTCTCATTGTCTGTGACATCGGAAGCAAGACAAGCCTGGTGGGAAACGAGCCCCATCACCAGCCTCCATCTGGTGGAGACTTCTGACTGGCTTCTGTGCCATTCTGAACGCCTTGCTTTTTCTAACCAGAGTGGCCAGCTCTGAGTCACATGAATAGCCAGCCCTCGCCTCTGCTGGCTTCTCTGTGGTGGGCTCCTGTAACATAGCTTTTCTAACAAAACAGTTACTATGGGGTCAGGTGGAGGAATCAGATTTGCCAGCAAAACTGTCTCTTCTCTGTGGTTCCCATGGGCCTCCTGGGCTATGGGTATTTACTTAGGACTGAATTCATCCCTGCTCTATCTTGGAAAGCAACTATCTTGGAAAAATATGGTGTCAGAAATAATGACAGAAAGCTGGGGAACAGACCTTAGGGAGACATTTCACCAAGTCTTAATTATTCATCTTAAATCATAGTGTTAGTGGAAACATGGAATTGCTTCTGTAGAGCCAATAAAACAAATCTGATTGCTTTTCACTGAGACGTACCAGTTCTCCATGCACAGAGAAGGGTAGGAGTAGAGCTCCTGCTTTTGAAGGGAGCTGAAACAGTCTCTGCTGAAGGAAGGACCAGGTAAGAGTTGCAGAGGGTTACATATAAAGTTAAGGAAGGCTCTGCATGTCTGCCATTGCGGGGTGAGTATCAAAAGGCCTAGAGGTGAGGTTGAAGGAAGGGGAAGCAGGAAGAACACGATGCCCTACATCTACACGGCAGTGTGAGAGGCTTCGAGACCTGGGAGAGTAAGGATGGTGTGGGGGCCTGGAGTACTCCATGTGGCAATAGATTAGAACTGGAGCCCTTAGTGTGAACTCATGTGCAGCATAGGACAGACATAGATAGTTACACATGGAAACAACTCAAATTCTGCTTGCCTACATGGGTTAGGAAGTACTGTGAGAGAGGCACGGGATCAGGGTGGTGAAGACTTGGAAAAGATGAAGGGTTTCTCCAGTTGGTAGACATGCAGCAGAAACTGCGTGTTCAGTTCAGGGGAGCCCTGATACTTTGGAAGCAAACCCAGAAAGTTGGGGGCCTATAATAGAGCCTATGAGTTTTGAGAGTCTAAACTTGGTCATCAAGGAGGTAACCCTGGGTGCTGAGGATGTAGCTCAGTGGTAGAGGGCTTGCCTAGCATGTGCAAGGCCCTGGGTTCCATCCCCAGCCCTAGATAATCCTGGTGTTAGAGGATCACAGAGTTTCTACAAGTTCCAGGTGGGACTTGGGGAGGGACACCAGTTGGTAAATACTGGAGGGGTATCACACAAAGCCAGCAATGGTCAGGGATGGATGTGACGCTCAGCCAATTAGTGAGATCTGGGGACCACTCCACATCAGAGATGAAGATTCTGGTTCTCTGCCAGGATTCTAATGGGGAAATGGGGTAGGGAGATGATTTAGGGGACTGGATGGCAGATTTTAGGAGATTATTTAATTTTTGGACTTGAGGCAGAGGGGCTCATGGAACATGGGAATGAGGTCTAGAAGGAAATTGCCCACATGGCTCTAAACATCTGTTTATCAAGAGAACAGGGGTGATTGGCAGGGAGGGGAATTGCCTACGTATTAGTACCTACTGTGTGCCAAGCACTGTTTCAGGACCCTGGGCCAGTCGCAATGAAAACAGCCTCATCTTGGAGTAATAAGTGCTACAGAGGAAAAGAGATTAAAGTTTTGTTTTATTTTATTGTGTGTGTATGTGCATGTGCTTGCTACAGCATGCGTGTGGAGGTCAGAGGACCACTTTCAGGAGTTGATTCTCTTTCCACGGTGGGTTCCAAGGATCTAATTCACATTGTCAGACTTGTATATCCAACAGTTGTATCCGCAGAGGCATCTCGCCAGCCTGAGAAAAAGATTCTTTTTTAAAAAGTAGAAAATCAAGGACTGGAGAGATGGCTCAGCAATTAAGAACACTGGCTGTTCTTGCAGAAGACCCAGATTCAAATCCTAACACTCACATCCCAATACCCACATGACAGCTAACAACTGTTCATGACTCCAGTTCCAGGGAATCTAATGGCCTTTTCTGACCTCTGTGGGCATTGCACAACATGGGTGCACTTACATACAAGCAGGCAATACATGCATATGTATAAAATTAAAAAAAATTTTAAAAAAAATAGAAAATCAGGGCTAGAGAAATGGCTCAGTGGTTAAGGACACCAGCTGCTCTGAGGAACCAGGTTCAGTTCCCAACACTCACATGGCAGCTAACAACCATCTGTAACTCCAGTTCCAGGGGATCTGATGCCCTCTTCTGACCTCCACAGGCATTGCACAACATGGGTGCACTTATATACAGGCAGGCATTACACTCATACACATAAAAATAACAAATAAAAAATTAATTAAAAATAGAAAATCACAAAAAAAATCAATAGAAAAAAAATATATTTTTTTTATTTTTATTGAATTTTTATGTATTTCATACAGAAAATCATCTTTATATCCCCTTTCTCTTTGGCACCCTCCCATAGCCCCCCCTGCCCCGACTGGAGTTCATGCATTCTGTCATTTGTGTTAAGGACTATCATATAAAATTAGTGTTCCCAGATGTCCCTCAGTGCAAGTTCATCTACTGGGGTTTAGTTAGCCTATCTAGAGTTCCTCCCTTCAAGAACATCAGCTCTTCCTCACCCAGGAATAATCAGCTGCCAATAGTTCTCTGAGTAAGACTGGGGCCTGCTGTCCGTTTCCACAGTTCTGGGCTGGGTTTTTGTCTGTTTACGTTCGCATGGGTCTTGTGTATGCTGACAACATTGCTGTAGGTTCCTATGAGAAGAGTCCTAGGAGCCTGTAGGACCATTTCAGTATAGTCAAGCACCTCCTCCCTGGCTCTTACAATCTTTCTACCCCCTCTTCCGAAATGATCCCTAAGCCCTGGGTGGGTGACTTTTAATATAGGAGTCCTGTCCAAAAACCCACACCCTACAGACTCCTATTCTCTGTGTTTTGGCCATTTGTGACGTTTTGCGTTCCTGGCATCTGTTGCATGAGGGGGCTTCATTGATGAGAACTGAAATATGTATTAGTGTCCTCCTCACCCCGTTCTGTGTTCTGTGAGCCTTAGGTGTAGAGGTTGCATCCTAGATGTGCCACTTAGGGTTGGGCAATTCACACACAATCTCTGTGTGACCGGTTGTGGAACCGTGTGATTATCTCTGTCTCTTGAAAAAGAAGTTCCTTTGATGGGTGATAACTGAGAGACTTTTCTATAGATTTAAGGACCCACATTTTGCACATAGTAAGAAATTACATTTGTCTAGGGATGTGACAGCCTTGGGGTTTTCTCTACGATCTATGACCTCTCCAGTGATGTGTATTTGGCTGGGTTTACAGCACCACACGAGTTTCCTCCCACTGAGTGGGCTTTAAGTCCAATTAGGCAGCTGATTACCCCAAAGATAAAAGTGCCATTACTGCACCAATGTCATTTGCTGTGCTGGTCATTGATGCGGTTTTTAGGCCTTGAAGCTGGGGTTGGCCCATCTACTGCATAGTGTTCTCCAAAGCCATGAGCTCTCAGGGGAGAGCTTCAGGGGAGGAGGCTTCCAGGTCAGTTCCAGCTCCATTGCTCCAAATCCTGTGTCTAAAGTATGTCCTGTCTTCAGCAATAGGGTCCTAACCGTCAAGTTCTGGGAGTCAATTAAGGACTGTGGCAATAGCCTGTGTGATTTTGGGAGTCTCTTGGGCCACCCTGGCCAACAGCTCAAAGGAAGGTTCCTCCTGCCTGGCACTGTTTCTTGTTATGCGGCCTTCAGATATACACACAGATATTGTATGTGTAATTTTTCAGTAGGTTTTTGGACTGATAGAATTTCTTCTGGTTTTTTTACACTAAGCTAGACACTAGTTATATCTCCTCTTTCTCTCCCTGTCTTATCCTCCCTCCACACCCTCCCCATTTGAAGTGTCCCAGTTTCTCCCTTGATAATTTGTCTGCTGTGGTCCCATCTCTCTTGAGCTCCTTCTTCCCCTTTATTCTTTGTATACCCTCCTTCTCCCCCCCCCTTTACCTACCCCCGTTTTACACATTTCTCCCCTCGTAACACCTGCTTCCTACTATTCTTCTCTCTCGGGTTCCTTCTTTCCCTTTACCTCCCTGGTTCCCTTCCACTTTCCTGATTCCTGCAGTTAACATCAGGATATGCACTCGGTTATAAGGATTTGGTGCTAGGATCCACAAAATTCGTCTTTTGTTTTTCTGAGTCTGTTACTTCACTTAATATAACACTTTCTAGATCCATCCATTTACCTGAAAGTGTCATTATTTCATCATTCTTTACTGCTGAGTAGAACTCCATTTTGTAAATGTACCACATTTTCGTTAACCACTCATCAGTTGAGGAGCACTTAGGTTGCTTCCATCTCTTAGCTATTGTGAAAAGAGACGCAGCAAACATGGATGTACAGTTATCTCTGCAATAGGATGAGTCCTTTGGGTATATGCCAAGGAGTGGTATAACCAGGTCTTATGGTAGATTTGTTTTTAGTTTTATAAAGAGTTCTCCACGCTGCTTTCCAAAGGAGTTGCACAAGTTTGCAATCCCACCAGCAGTGAATGAATGTTCCCCTTTCTCCACATCCTCGCCAGCATTTGGTATCATTTGTTCTCTTGATCCTAGCCAGTCTGACTGGGGTAAGGTGATACCTTAAGGTGGTTTTAATTTGCATTTCCCTAATTACAACCGGTGTTGAACACTTTTTAAAATGTTTCTTAGTCATCTTTATTTCTTTTGAGAACTCTCTGTTTAGATCTTTAGCCCATCTTTTAATTGGGTCATTTCTTTCCTTGATTCTTTGTTTTCTTTTTAAGTTATTTATATATTCTGGATGTTAAACTGTCAGATGTGTCACTGGTGAAGAGTTTTTCTCACTTTGTGGGTTTTCTCTTCACTTTTTTGTTTGCTTATTTTGCTGTACAGAAGGTTTTTAGTTTAATGAGGTTCCACTTATTGATTGTTGACCTTTATTCCTGAGCAACTGAGGTCCAATTTAGAAAGTCCTTTCCTACCCCTGTATCTTGTAGGTTACTGCCAATGTTTTCTTCTAACAGTTTCAGGATTTCAAGTTTCACGTTGAGGTCTTTGATTCATTTGGAGTTCACTTTTATACAAGGTGAAAGATAAAGATCCACTTTCATTCTTCTATAGGTGGAGATCTAGTTTTGTCAGCACCATTTGTTGAAGATGCTGTCTTTCCTCCATTGTGTGTTCCTGGCACATTTGTCAAATATCAGGTGTCTGAAATTGCATGTAATCGGGTTTGGGTCTTCAATGATGTTCCATTGCTCTCTGTGTCTATTTTTGTGCCAGTACCATGTTGTTTTTATGACTATAGCTCCATAGTATACTTTGAGATCTGGTATAGTAATACCCCTAGTGTTGCTCTTTGTGCTCAGGGTTGCTTTGGCTATCTGGGGACTTTTGTGCTTCCATATGAATTTAAGGAAAGTTTTTTCTAATTCTGTGAAGTATGT